GGAGAAGGGGGGGCAAGGCTGTGCCACACAGCAGTGAGGCAGAGGAACAGCTACAGCCTGTTCCCAATGTGTGCATATGCAGAGCTGCCAGAAGAAAAGAACAACTCAGAAATCAAGGTAGACTTGGGAGTAAAGTCACAGGTGGAAGGTGATTGGCCCCTCCCATAAAAAATAAAAAGGAGCGAAAGGGAAGTGGGCTTTTCCAGGAAACAATTCGTTCATTTGTTCATTAGATTCATTTCAGGAGTGTGAAGATCTGTCCATGAATCTCAGAGACTCTGCACCCAGTCTTTCCATGCACAACACCTCATTTGGAAAATATTTACATGGCAGCTTTCCAAGATAGATAAGGTCTGTGGTCATAAATATTCCACTGAAAGACTGTTTCCCAGGCCTTGCTGAATGTGAATGAGAGGAATTCACATTCGCCAAATAAAAGGGGTTTTTGTCGGGACCAGGACTCTGCCTCGTGTTTTTGGGGAAGCCTAGGTCCGGTGTGTGTGTGTGTGTGTGTGTGTGTGTGTGTGTGTCTGTGTGTGTTTGCTTGTAAAGTAGGCATACTTTTCTCTCTTATCATGCAAGCCATAGTTACCCCTTCTATAAGTAAATATGAATTGTTGTACTATTAAGTTTATTATACTTAACCTCTCTGACTGCACGTTCAGATTCCCCAACATATTTGTTCAACAATTCAGGTCCCTGCATGGGGAAAAAAAATCAAACAACTTTCAAGGATGTTTCCTTTACATCATACTTTATTTTGAATGTTAAAAAAACAGCTTGAAGACAATACTTGAAAAATGTTGGAAGGCACATGCTATTCCCTGATCAACCAACCTACAGTAATTAGTCTGGATTGAATCAGCAGTACAACCTGGCTCCTAAAAAGGGAAATTGTATTTTAGGCCACATCAATAGAAATACAGTTTCCAAATCATGGGAAATGATACTTCTATTAGCATTTATGTTATTGTATTCAGTATCTGCTTTGGTCATACTTACTTCAAGAAATACAGTACAGGTGGTTCCACATTTTAAGAAAGATCCAGACAAAATAGAAAGTTTTGTAAGAAAAGATAAAGGGAACTGGGTATACATAACCTTAAGAAAATTTATTCGAGGACAATGTAATAGCACTATTAAAATTCCTAAATGATTGACAGAGGATCAATTATGGATGTAGATAGTCCTCACTTAAGGACCGTTCATTTAGCAACTTTGAAGTTACAATGTGCTGGTACTTATGTCTGGTCATTGAAGTTACAGCCACTGCAGCACTTTTGAGGTCGCATGATCAAAATTCAAGCATTTGGCAACCCACCCACATTTATGACCAGAGGGTGCATTTCAACTTCCTCACACCAACCTATCTCACACCCATCTCTGCCCTTTTAGGTGCCCTGTACTCCGCCACCTCCTACCATTCCCAACTGACCTTTGCCATTATCCCACTGCTGATTAGGTGCATCCTGCCAGGCCCTTCACAAGGCAGCTGCTGGCCTCATGATACTTTCTTTCCCAGGCTGCATATAGCCTTTCTAACGGCACACAAGGTCTTTGTTTTGAGGCCTCAGGAATTAAATGCAATGCCTCAGAAGTAGCAATAGCAATAGAACTTAAGACTTATATACCGTTTCACGGTGCTTTACAGTTCTCTCTAAGCAGTTTACAGAGTCAGCATATTGCCCCCAACAATTTGGGTCCTCATTTTACCCACCTCGAAAGGATAGAAGGTTGAGTCAACCTTGAGCCTGGTGAGATTTGAACTGTCCTATTGCAGGCAGCTGGCAGGCAACAGTAGTAGTCCAATCACCAGGAAGAAAGAATCATGTAGTCAGCAGCTGGATTTGCCTCATCAGTAGGGATTACAGGGTACAGGGCAGCTTGCATGGCTTCCCATACCTAGCAGAAGCCATTCTTGGCCCGGCAATGCTCATACTATAGTAAGTTGCTTGTGCACTATCCCTTAGTTGCTGTTATTGTTGCCAGGTCATAGTAAGACATAACTTCTGGCTGGCCTGCTTGGAAGCTATCCAGAATTCAAAAGTATCTGCTAGATTCTCCATTGACTTTGCTTGTTGGAAGCTGGCAGGAAATCACAAGGAAATCTTCTCATAACAACACACAATTCTTCCTTAACAACAACAAGGATTGTCAGAAATGTTGCCACTAAGTGATGCGGTCACATGATTTTGCACTATATGACTGCATTGCTTAACAAAAGAAATTCTGATCCCAATTACTGCTGTTAATCTGTACTTTAATTTGAATTTCTGTACTCAGCAAAGAGTTATATTTATTGACCTAAATGCTCTCTAGGACTATATAAAGTTAATTATGAGAGCCTTTTTAAAAAAAAGATTTTATCTCATGAATTTCATGTTATTTATTTAATAAAGAACAATTAATGAGGAACAGTCCAAAGACCTTTTCAGAACATTAGGTTTAACTTATATTCTGAGCTAAGCTACTTTTTTCTTATAATAAACATATATAAAATAAATAAATGTACTGATACCTTCTAAAAGAAACATTGGCAATTCAGCTTCTGATTTTAGATTTTTTTATTTTTTATTTTTTTGATTTTGAAGACATTAGTGGAAAGATTTTTGCCCCATATAATATTTTAAATATAAAATGAGAATCAGTTTGATCTATTGGTTAAAGCACCAGGCTAGAAACCAGAAGACTGTGAGTTCAAGTCTTAGGCATGGAATCCAGTTGGGTGTCTTTGGGCCAGTCCAGTCACTCTTTCAGCCCACAAGGCTTTGGTGACAAGCTGCTCAGTCAATTGCAACCAATGGATTAATATTTGGTTTATCTGAAAATGATAAATGTGTGAAAATGCTAGGAAGAAAATAAAAATAGCAACAACATATTAATGTACAGGAAACCATCTGGTGATTTGATGATGTAACTGAGAGAAACAAAGCTGACATAATTTTGATTCATAGCTTCAAATTCCAAATCATTTAATAAAAAAACAAAGTATCCCTGAAGGATGTTATCTCAAACCATTTTTATGAAACATGGTGAATTTAGGAGTAAAACTTGGAATTGACTCCCAGTCTTTCCATTCTTATTCCAACTTTTTATTTGTAAAACAAATCATGCCATGAAAATTCAATCATTTTGGCACCAAATTACTCTGGCACTTTCTTGAGGTGTTTTCAATTATTGCACTATTATACATTATAGCTATCAATAAGCCAGAAATTTAACTAAGCAAGTAGCATAACTTCCTTTTTTCTTCTAAATATACTATCCTTCCTTAGACTTGCCCATTATACATTCAACATATCTGACAGGCTGATAATTGAGGAATACTAGAGAAGTGTTTTTATGGTATTTGATAACATCATGTTTAAGAACACAGTGATTACTAACCTTTACGGCCAAGAAGTTTACACCACTTTCATGAGCCAAGGCCTTGGCAATCATGGTTTTAGAACATCCTGGTGGTCCATATAGGAGTACTCCTTTTGGGGGCTGAATGCCCATTCGAATGAAAGAGTCAGGATGCTTCAGTGGCCATTCAACAGCTTGCTTCAATTTCAGTTTAACATCTTCCAGCCCTCCTATGTCTGACCAGGATATCTATATAGCAAGTCACTTTAATTAATTAATTCATTGATTTTTGGTAGCTCCCATGCTCAGCAGCATAAATACTACATTATTAAACAGCTACTAGGAGTTTAGTATTTAATTAGATCTATTTTAACACTGTTTTTTGGATCACTTTTTATTGAACACCCATACCACAATCAGTGCCAATAGGATGCAGTAATCAATCTTTATTTCTGGTAATACTGATGTAGTATCCCTTTAGAAGATCTTTCTCAAGTTTATTGTCCTATAAATGTGTAGACCATTTTTAGGCTAAAGAAGGCAGTTATATAAATACAACTACTCAGTTCGGGGTCATCAAACGTTGCAACAAGAAGCTGTTAATTCATGGGAAATGCACAAGAAAAAAAACACCATAAATATAAACTACTACAAGTATAACAGTCATTTGCACTCTCTCGTTGACAATGGTCAATCATTTGCATGGCTACATTATTATCTACTATAAAGATTTTTCTTTAACTAACCTATGTTCCTGAAATTCATTCATCATGTATTGAAATACTTTGCCGAAGCAATAGTTTTTCTGTCCATGTGTGGATATTTTTCTATTCTACCCATATGCCTGTCTTAAAATAGTCTGTCCCTGCACATTCCAGAAAAATAGAGAATGATATCAATGTACAACAATGTGCTATATTTCCATCCTTGTGAGAAACGCATGATGTTGGAAAATATACAAGATTAATACTGATTAGTCACTTGGGCCCCTCACTATTTTTCATCATGATAGATGTTTTCCTAGGCAAGCCATCTTGATCTCCAGCTATGTTGGAACGACAACATTCTAGAATATCCAGACAGCATAATTAGGAATTAAAGGAGTTACAGTTCCAATATATTCCCAAGATAGATAGATGGAGAGGAAAGACTTAAAGACCGCTTTATCTACTTCTGTGATCAGATGACTGCCTTTAAGCATGACTCTTTTTCTTATTCTCCAACCTCCAAATAATCATCTTAAAATATTGAATAGAGAAATCTTACTTTGGGTACATCAATTGTCACCTCTCTCATGGCACTGGGCCTGACATCATTCATTGCCTGCAGGAAATCACTGTGATTAATAATTACAGATACAGACACGTCATCATCCAGGAGAGTCTCTTTCTTATGAAGTATTCTCCGCAAAGCATGCATTCCTGTATAAAGGACACAAAATGCAAAATAATGTATGGATTTCTTATTACATATCACAGATATTCAACAATACATAAGTTGTAAATGATATACTGATCTGTGACAGTAGTAAAGATTGAATTGAATGTAGTAAATGAAAAATATGAGAAAGTAAGAGATTTCTCTTAATCAGGATTCATCAAGCATAAACAAATGAATGCTTTAGCATTTATAGTACCGATAGTCAACCTACTATACTCCAGATACTATTGAACTGCATCTTCCATGACCCAGCTTCTTCCACCACTAGTCCCCCTTTCTAAGATAACTAAAGTTGTCATACATTAGAATTACGCCAGAAATGTCACAAAATCTCTAATTTTAAGTACAGACTATGTTGAGGCTCGTTGGTACACTGAAAGTACACTTGTAAACAATGACTAGCTTGTGGCTTAAACTAGTAATTATTTACAAAAAGTATACCATCATTCTAAATAAACATCCTTGAGACTATTTTCAAGCATTTCATAAGGAAAGGTTTTAGATTTCTGATCACGGTTATCCATCTTCTTCCATAAGCCTAATTGGAGGGGGGGAAGGGCATCCAAAAAAAGGGGGGGAGATGACAATTCTCTATCTTCTTTAGACTTATGCAATTCACCAAATTATTTGGACTAACCCGCCAAATTAATCTTTAGGAAACAGCTTTGGACAATGAAGAAAAAGGTTCTAGAACTCCCAAATAAAATAATGTGTCATCTCACACTAAATTATTATATCATAATCTGCAAGTACTAGAGACCTGGTGGTCATCAGGGTTGCACAATATTTTTGTGATAAAAGTAGCATATTAAAATATGTCAAAGTTACCAATTTAAAATGATTAGTGTTATATTCAATGGGGGAAAACCCCACTTATTTCATGCATTGTTCAAAGAAAACATATCTTTAACAATTTCTAATCCAAAAAATAGTTATTGATGAAATCTGATACGTAAAAAGGAACACGTAATATCTTATTTGCTAGTATACAATATGTCTGTTTTTTTATAAATCAGTTTTCTCTCGGCCAATTAAAAAAAATAAAGAAACAGGACCATTCAGTAATTGTCCGAGCAATATAGAGCATGCCTTCCCCTTGTTTCCAAGCTGCATCCAAACTTAGCATGTCTAATTAGATCTTTCTTCCCCACTCCTCTGGGCCACCTGTACCTACTCCTTCCTTAAAATCTGGGGTACTCTGCTATATTGCAAGGTTATTCTAGGATGAGAAAAGAGGGTGTAGTAGATCTTTACTCCATCTTGTTTTGGGGATTCCTCAATCAGCTTAGTTTTTACAACATAGCAATAGCAATAGCAGTTAGACTTATATACCGCTTCATAGGGCTTTCAGCCCTCTCTAAGCGGTTTTACAGAGTCAGCATATCGCCTCCACAGTCTGGGTCCTCAACAACAAGTGCAGTATTTGAGAAAGGTGGAAAAAGCTGCATCTTTCTATGCAGTTAAAGTTCAGCCCTACTATTCTCCATGTGGGCAATGTTGTTGTTAGTTGCGAAGTTGTGTCCAATCCATCGCGACTCCATGGACAATGTTCCTCCAGACCTTCCTGTCCTTTACCATCCTCTGGAGTCCATTTAAACTCACACTGACTGCTTTGGTGACTCCATCCAGCCACCTCATTCTCTGTCGTCCCCTTCTTCTTTTACCCTCAATCTTTCCTAGCATTAGGCTCTTCTCCAGTGAGTCATTCCTTCTCATTAGGTGGCAAAGGTATTTGAGTTTCATCTTCAGGATCTGGCCTTCTAAAACGCAGTCAGGGTTGATCTCCTCTAGGACTGACCGGTTTGATCGCCTTGCAGTCCAAGGAACTTGCAGGAGTCTTCTCCAGCACCAGAGTTCAAAGGCCTCAATTCTTTGGCGCTCAGCCTTTCTTGTGGTCCAACTTTCACAGCCATACATTGCAACTGGGAAAACTATGTAGGTAGTGGATCTGGCTATTTGAGAGACCGCCTTCTGCCAATTACCTCCCTGCGTCCCATCAGATCGCATAGAGTTGGCCTCCTCCGTATTCCATCCGCCAGTCAGTGCCGACTGGCGACTACTCGGAGGAGAGCCTTCTCTGTTGCGGCTCCGACAGTATGGAACAATCTCCCCGTGGAGATTCGTACCCTCACCACCGTCCAGGCCTTCCGCACAGCCCTCAAGAACTGGCTAACCCGTCAGGCCTGGGGATAATCTTATTTCGCCCCTCCCGAATGCTGAGTGAATGTTGAGTTTTATTGTCTAATTTACTTTGTGCACATTTCTTTTTTCGTATTGTCCTACACTCCCCTTCCTTTTTGATTGTAAGCCGCCCTGAGTCCCCTCAGGGAAAAGGGCGGCCTATAAATAAATAAAACAAACAAACAAACAATAAAGCAGTTAAAAAACTGAGATGGTTAGAACTGTTCAAAACAATAACTAAATTATTTAAAGTACACATTTGTCCAAACTATTATGTGGTTCAGCATTTAAATGAAGCAATGTTTTACAAAAAAACAAAAAAAAACCCAGTAATAAAAGACAGATTGAAGCCAAAACCTTAATCCTTCCTGTTTCCTCTTGTTAGCATCATTTATTTCTGCTGTCCCCGCTGACCTTGACCTTAATCAGTGGTTATGTTATTTCCAGGAATGAATCTAGTCACTACTTTACTAAACACAGAAATATATCTTCCTTTTCATTAAATTAGGAGGAGGAAGAACTTGGTAATGTGTTTGTATATGTGAGAACTGTGTTCTAGCTGTAAGATAGAGCAAATCCTGAAAAATGACCTCACCCTTTGATTAAAGCTGCATTCCAAAAATAACAAGCATGTGTCCAACACAAAGGAAGTTTAAAAAATAGTTTGCCAGAGTACATTCTGGAGAAGACCCAGCTTTTACTTGTGTACTAAGAGACAGCTTGAAGAACATGCCTATATATCAGGTGGCACTTTTTACCAACTCGTTAGTAGATAATCATGTTCCCTTACCATTAACTACTGTGGTTAACTTTTCCAAAATCTAATAAAAGCAAAGAATTGTAAAATATTTATGAATCACCAAAGTACGCACCATGATTTTGAAGAGGTAAAGTTTTTTTTAAAAAAGGTTTTGCACTCTGCAGGCCTCCCAAACCCTCTGCACACCTTGTTTTTTGCACACATACAAAAAAAGGCATGCAGAGCTTTGGGAGACTTGTAGAGGGCTCCTGAGGGCTGGGGGGAGGAGCAAAAACAACCTTTTGCTCTCTCTTTTTGCCCTTTCCAGCCCTCAGGAGCACTTTGCAAACATCTCAAACCCTCTACACATCCGTTTTTGCAAAGGGGGGGGGGTGTCGGTAGGCCAAAAATGCTGTATTCAGTGTATAAGACACACCCAGATTTTCACCCTCTTTTTTGAGAGAAAAAGGTGCGTCTTATACTCCAAAAATACGGTATGTTATTCTTAGCTAGTATTCAAAGTATAGTTATTAGTTTGAATACTATTAAATTTGTAGCATTGTTTTAAATGCTTACAGCGTGTCCTCAACTTACAACAGTTCATTTAGTGACTGCTCAAAGTTAAAACGGCACTGGAAAAAGTGACTTATGACTGTTTTTCACACTTATGACAGCTGCAGCATCTCCACAGTCATGTGATCAAAACTCAGATGCTTGGCAACTGACTCATATTTATGATGGTTGCAGTGGCCTCAGTTCACGTGGTCACTTTTTATGACTTTCTTACCAGCAAATTCAATGGGGAAGCCAGATTCACTTCACAGCCACGTCACTAACTTAATAACTGCAGTGACAACTGTGGTACAAAAGGTTGTAAATGGGGGAGAGGGGGAATTCACTTAACAAATGTTTCACTTAGCAGCAAAACCTTGGAGCTCAATTGTGGTCATATATTGAGGACTACCTGTACTATGTTTTAGCTAATGCAGAGGTGGGATCAAAATTTAAGCTTGAGTGTCAAAAAGAAATCCTGTAAGTGGAACATGGTCTTATGTAGGGATTGCCCATCACTTAGGAAGAATAAAGAGACTCTTTTCAGATCCCACTGATCCAGACAGATCTATCCCAATTCAACTGCGTTTGGGAGGGTAACTATCAAACAAAGCTATTCTATCTCCTGTTCTCATCTCTATGTATGCACCGGTACAGTATAGGTGGTACCTTGCTCAATAGTAATAACTGTAAGAGGGATCTTGGAATCCTAGAGGACAACCATTTAAATATGAGCCAGCAGTGTGCAGCAGCTGCCAAAAAAGCCAACACAGTTCTAGGCTATAAACAGAGGGATAGAATCAAGATCATGTGAAGTGTTAATACCACTTTATAAGGCCTTGGTAAGGCCACATTTGGAATACTGCATTCAGTTTTGGTCACCTTCACGATGTAAAAAAGATGTGGAGACTCTAGAAAGAGTGCAGAGAAGAGCAACAAAGAGGATTAGGGGACTGGAGACTAAAACATGAGGAACGGTTGCAGGAACTGGATAGGTCTAGTTTAATGAAAAGAAGGACATGATAGCAGTGTTACAATATCTCAGGGGTTGCCACAAAGAAGAAGGAGTCAAACTATTCTTCAAAGCACCTGAGGGTAGAACAAGAAGCAATGGGTGGAAACTAATCAAGGAGAGAAGCAACTTAGAACTGAGGAGAAATTTCCTGACAGTTAGAACAATTAATCAATGGAACAGCTTGCCTCCAGAAGTTGCGAATGTTCCAACACTGGAAGTCTTTAAGAAGATGCTGGATAGCCATTTGTCTGAAATAGTATAGGGTTTCCGGCCTAGGCAGGGGGTTGGACTAGACCTCCAAGATCCCTTCCAACTCTGCTATTGTATTTGTATTTGTATAATCTAATATTCCCATACATACGACTACGCAGAACACATTGTATTGCAAGTTCTTATCTTATTCTTTCCTTCCTCATGTAGAAGTAGCTTTGCACATAGTTTTCTTCTCAGTTACAGATGCAATAATAGAAGGTACAAATTTAGGGGCCTTGGGTCACTAGCTTGACTGTTCTCTCTGAGAGACCCAGTGATAAAGCTGAGAGGACAATATTATCACAATATTGCAATTTTTAAACTTACTGTTATTTAACTGCTTTATTTTTTCCTTTCTTGCAATCACAGAATCGGGATTTAACAATTATATTTGTAGACCTGCAAAGAACATGCATAAGAGAAGACACTTTGCAGCATGTCAACCAGCATACAGCAGTTTCCAATTTTTTAAAACTCCTTTTGAACCGCATTGTGCCTATTTTTAATTGGTGATTTTGAATCATAAGAGCAACAGGGAGCTAAATCCATTGTAAATGTGTCCTTAATGCTGATTTCCTGTTTAGCTTGCTAAAGAGGAAAATATATGTTTAATTATACTACATCCCCACCCAGTAATTTTCATTCATGAACTTTAATTTGTCTTTACTTATATATTTCCTTTTTGTACAATTGGTGTCTGCTACAATGAATCAAAGCTAGTTAAAACTGATTTTGAGTGGTTATGTGAGTCAAATTTATAAAGAATACATTACTGCAATAGTTACATTCTCTATGAGTCTTGTACCCAAACATCTGGAATGCACCAAGTAAGAGAAACCTAGTGTCAGCCTCCGCTTTGCCTCCACATTGCTACTGCTTCAGCTGCCATTGAAACGGGGAGGGGGGGCATGGTATTTGGGAGGGGAATCATTGTTGTGCTGGAGGAAGTTTCTAGACTTTGAGCTGACCACCTTACTGTGCATGTGGAGGAGGAGGGTTTCCCGCCAAGGCCAACGGTCCAGCATTCCATCCTAGTGATGCCTTTCGAAGTTATCTCACACCTGACATTTGGGAGAATTATGATTGGACCGTGCATGGGATGCCAAGGGGAGGGGAATGAATTATACAATATATTATTCGCTTTCGCGCCTAATTAACCAGATTTAGCTTAGCTTTGCATCTATTCATTTATAATTAGTAAAAGTACACTTGATTTCAACAAATGGAGTCCTGTGGTTTTCTTTCCTGATTATTGAATGAAGAAAAGCTGACACCTAGTTTTTAATTTGTGGTTTTTCACCAGGTTAATCAGTTACTCTATCCCTCACAATTTTATGAGATAATTGAATTTTATTATATTTACAGGTGCTTAAATCTGGCCCACAGGGCCCCCTGGAAACAGTGAAGGACTAGCCTGGGGTGTCTCTGCCAGCAAAAATTACGGAATTATAGAATTAACTAATTACAGAAAAAAAGTAGTAATAATAATTATTAAATGTATATCCTGTCCTCACTATCAAATCAATTCTAAATCAAGGTATTATTTTGTACTGTTCATTTATTTCTGTATTCAGTATTTCCTTTATTAGCCAATTATCTAGACCAGTGATAGCGAACCTTTTCAGCACCAAGTGCCCAAACCGGAACACATGTGCACGTGCTGGAGTACCAGAAACTCAAAAACAAGTTGGCTAGTGTGCATGCACGCAATGTCCACCAGCCAGCTAGTCTTTGGGTTTCCAGCACTCTGGCGCATGCAAAGACCAGCTGGCCGGCGTGCATGCATGTGCTGTAAACCAGAAGAGCAGCTGGCAATGGCGCGCATGCCCACAGAGAGGGCTCTGCTTGCCACCTCTAGCAAGCGTGCCATAGGTTCGCCATCATGGATCTAGACCCCATTCCTTTTTTGTTATACGATAGACACTTCTTTCCCTTGAATTCATTTTGTGACATACTCTACTTTTGCTTCCATATAACAAAATGAAGAAAAGCAGACTCTCATACAGTGATTTCTGATACTTTCAATAAGCATTCTTTCCTGCATTAGACTGTCCAAATTGTAAATATTTTGATCATAATTTCTCTCCACTTCCCTGCTTTTTTAACCAACCAGGCTCTTTTTGACTGGATAGTTTTCAACTTTATTTTTCTCTATACATGCACTGTACAACATGGTTTTTCCCTTTTTTTTTGTATCATTCTATGTGATGTTTTTTCTCATTCTCAGTTTCCTTCATATTGTTATTTAACCAAGCACTTTTTTCAAATTTTTCATCAAGGTAACTCCACAAACTTTTTTGGCATTCTCTAATGTAATTTTTTTCATTTCACTGCATTCATTCTGTTTGGAGATTACCTAATCTTCTAATATATTTGTTCATATAGAGCTAGTACCTCTCTTTATGAAGTCAGTCTCATTTGTTTCTTTCATTTGTTTCTTTTTCTTTCACATCCATTTTTTTCTGATGATCAACACCAAATAAGGTCCTATCTCAGTAGGTGGAACCTCTCATCACCTTTACTTCTTTCATTAATTATCTCATCTTTACCATAAACAATCAACTCAACTGTGCTCTTTGACTCATTATTTTCTCATATGTATGCATGAACAGGCATATGCTTAAATCACTTCTTGAAACAAGAAGATATTTTTCTAAACAAATTCATGCCAAATAGTTACCATTCTGATTCATTCTTTTTTTTTATTAAAAAGATTTTTTAATTTTTGATTTAAAACAAGTACAACATCTTTCTTTACATGCTATAGAAAGTGTGTCTGTCAATTACATATAAACTTTTGTGCATCTCCTC